TGGGGAGAGTATGGGGCAGTGGGATTAGTTTGGGGATTGATACAGGGCTATGGGGAGAGAGTGAGGAATGGGTATTGACTGGGATTAATACAGGACTGTTGTTGTTCATTCCATTTCTTTCAGTAAAGGAATATCTGCGTAATGAGAAATGTTGTAACTCCAGGACACATGGACTGATAAAGGAGCCTGATGGAACATGAGGATAAAGTGTGTTTTCCCAGAGATCAGTTAGGATGTGGAATCTAATCAATGATGGGGGTGGGGCTGGCAACACAAATTTGGCAGCAACTTTTAACAGCAAATTGGATAAGTTGTTCAAACAAAAATAAAATCACCGAATCATTTGAAAAGAGCAGCATTAGAGAACTAACAGAAGGGCTCTGTGAAACGGTCAATAAAGTCTCATTGGCAAATGACTGCCTTCAATGCTGTCTTTTTCCAATGCTCCCTGCCCTGGGAGTGTTTGATGGGGACAATGTAGAAGGAGCTTTACTCTGTATCTAACCCCGTGCTGTCCCTGTCCTGGGAGTGTTTGATGGGGGGACAGTGTAAAGGGAACTTTACTCTGTATCTAACCCTGTGCTGTCCCTGTCCTGGGAGTGTTTGATGGGGACAGTGTAGAGGGAGCTTTACTCTGTATCTAACCCCGTGCTGTCCCTGTCCTGGGAGTGTTTGATGGGGACACTGTAGAGGAAACTTTACTCTGTATCTAACCCCGTGCTGTCCCTAGCCTGGGAGTGTTTGGTGGGCAAAATAATAGTTGTAATAGTAGAGGATCTTATCTTTTCAAACTTAGACTCGGACTACCATAGTGTTAAGGGCTTGGACTGGGAGGATTTAGTCAAGTGTGTTCAGGAAAACTTCCTCATCAAATACATAGATGGCCGTACTAAAGAAGGTGGCAAAACATGACCTCCTCTTGGGAAATAAGGCAGGGCAAGTAACTGAGGTGTCAGTGAGGGAGCACTATGGGACCAGTGACTGTAATTCTATTAGTTTTAAAATAGTGGTGGAAAAGGATAGGTCTGGTCCACAAGTTAAAGTTTGAACTTGGGGCCAGGCCAATTTTGATGGTATTAGACAAGGACTTCTAAAACTTGACTGGGGAAGTCTGTCCTCCGGTAGAGGGACATCTGGCAAATTGGAGGCTTTCAAAAGTGAGATATTGACAGTTGAGTGACAATGTGTTCCTGTTAGTGTGAAGGGCAAGGCTGGCAGGAGTAGGGAACAGTGGATGACGAGAGATATTGAGGCTCTGTTCAAGAAAAAATAGAACACATACATCAGGTAAAGGTCGCTGGGATCAAGTGAATCCCTTGAGGATTATAGGGGGTGTAGAAGTACATTTAACAAGGAAATCAGGACTGCAAAAAGGGGACATGAGATAGCTTTTGCACGTAAAGTAAATGAGAATCCAAAGAGATTCTACAAGTGTATTAAGGACAAACAAATGACCAGGGAGAGAATAGGATCCATTAAAGATCAACAAGGCTGTCTATGTGTGCAGCCACAGCGGATGGGTGAGATCCTGAACGAATATTTCTTGTCAGTATTTACCAGGTAGAAAGACAGGTAAGCTAGGGAACTCGGGGAAATAAATGATGATGTCTTGAAAAGAGTCCACATTACAGAAGAGGAGGCGCTAAAGGTCTTAAACCACATAAAGATAGATAAATCCCTGGGACGTGATCAAGTGTATTCCAGGATATTGTGGGAAGCTAGGGAAGAAATCATGGGGCCCCTAGCAGAGTTATTTGTATCATCTAAAGCCATGGGTGAGGCGAATGAAATCTGGAGGGTGGCTGATGTTGTGCCTTTATTTAAGAAAGGTGGCAAGGAAAAGCCACAGGACTATAGACTGGTGAGCCTGACATCAAGCTGTTGGAGGGGATTCTGGGGGACAGGATCTACATGCATTTGGAAAGGCAAAGACTGATTAGGGATAGCCAGCATGGATTTGTGTGTGGGAAATTGTGTCTTACAAATTTGATTAAATTCTTTGAAGAGGTGCCAGGAAGATAGATGAAGACAGAGTGGTACATGTTGTTTACATGGACTTTAGCAAGATTCTGCATGGTCGGCTGACTAGTAAGGTTAGAGCACATGGGATCCAGGGATATCTAACCAACTGGATACAAAATTGACTTAATGGTAGAAGTGATGGTAGAAGTGGTTGTTCAGACTGGAGGCCTGTGACCAGCGGTGTGCCACAAGGATCGGTGCTGGGTCCACTGTTGTTTGTCATTTATAAAAGCAATTAGTTTGGTAAAATTTCAGATGGTATAGTGGACAGTGAAGAATGTTATCTAAGAGTACAACAGGATCTTGATCAACTGGGCCACTGGGCCAAGGAATAGCAGATGGAGTTGAATTTAGATAAATGTGAGGTGTTGCATTTTGGTCAGCCAAAACAGGGCAGGACTTACACAGTTAATAGAAACATAGAAAATAGCTGCAGGAGTAGGCCATTCAGCCCTTCGAGCCTGCACCACCATTCGATACGATCGTGACTGATCATGTAATGTCAGTATCCCATTCCCACCTTCTCTCCATACCCCTTGATCCCTTTAGCCACAAGGGCCCCATCCAGCTCCCTCTTGAATATGTCTAATCCCATCAGCTTCCTGTGGGAGAGAATTCCACAGGTTCACAACTCCCAGAATGAATAATTTCCTCCTCATCTCGGTCCTGAATAGCTTACCCCTTATTCTTAAACTGTGACCCCTAGTTCTGGACTTCCCCAACGTCGGGAACATTCTTCCCACATCTAGTCTGTCCAGTCCCATCAGGATTTTTTATGTTTCTGTGAGATTCCCCCCTCATTCTTCTAAATTCCAGCAAATACAAGTCCAGTCGACCCAGTCTTTCCACATATGTCAGTCCTGCCGTCCCGGGAATCAGTCTGGTGAACCTTTGCTGGACTCCCTCAATAGCAAGAATGTCCTTCCTCAGACTAACAGACCAAAACCGCACACAACACTTGAGGTGTGGCCTCACCAAGGCCCTGTATAACTGCAGCAAAACATCCTTACTCCGATACTCAAATCCTTTTGCTATGAAGGCCAGCATGCCATTAGCTTTTCTCACTGCCTGCTGCACCTATACACCAACCTTCAGTGACTGTTCCTCCATGACACCCAGGTCTTTTCTTAAACTGCCACCATTCAGATAATAATCTGCCTTCCTGTTTTTGTGACCAAAGTGGATAACCTCACTTTTATCCACATTATATGGCATTTGCCCACTCAGCCAGTCTGTCCAAGTCACCCTGCAGCCTCTTAGCATCCTGGGGAGTGATATTGGACAGAGAGACCTAGGGGTGTAGGCACATAGTTCCTTGAAAGTGGAGTCACAGATGGACAGGATGGTGAGGAAGGTGTTTTCCATGCCTTTCTTCATCAGTCAGAGTATTGAGTACAGGTGTTAGGCATCATGTTATTGCTGTCCAGGACATTGGCAAGGCCATATTTGAAGTCATGTGTACAATTCTGGTCACCATGCTAGAGGAAGGATGTTATTAAACTGGAAAGGACGTATAAACATTTACAAGGATATTACCGAGACTGGAAAGTTTGAGTTATAAGGAGAGGCTGGATAGGCTGGGACTTTTTCTCTGGAGCGTAGGGAGCCGAGGATTGACCTTATAGAGGTTTATAAACTCATGAGGGGCATAGGTATGGTGTATTGCCAAGGTCTTTTTCCAAGGGTAGGAGAGTCCAAAACTAGAGGGTATAGGCTTAAGGTGAGAGGGGAAAGAATTAAAAGGGACCTACGGGGCAATTTTTTCACACGGAGGGTGGTATGTGTGTGGAACAAGCTGCCAGAGAAAGTGCTAGAGGCAGGTACAATTACAACATTTAAAAGACATTTGGACAGGTACATGGATAAGAAAGGTTTAGAGGGATATGGAACAAATGCAGGCAATTGGGACCAGTTCAGTATCAGAAACCTGTTTGGCATGGATGAGTTGGGCCAAAGGACCTGTTTCATGCTATATGACTCTAGAAAGGGGTAGACAGAGCTTTGCTTTCTGTTTACTTTTCAAGTAAATGAGTAGAGGGGGTTTACCCTGTTTCTAACTGCATTCTGTACCTGTCCTGGGAGTTTATGATGGGGACAGTGTAGAGGGAGCTTTACTCTTAGCAAACCCTGTGCTGTCCGTGTCCTGGGACTGTTTATTTTGATGGAGGCTGTGTGGAGGGACCTTTATTTTCAGTTTGCTTTCAGTTTAAAAGGGTAGAGGAAGCTTTACACTGTATCTAACCCCATGCTGTCTCTGTCCTGGGTGTATATGATGGGGACAGTGTAGAGCGAGCTTTACTCTTAGCAAATCCTGTGCTCTCCGTGTCTTGGGAGTGTTTGATGGGGACAGTGTAGAAAGAGCTTTACCCTGTATCTAACCCCGTGCTGTCCACATCCTGGGTATGTTTAATGGGGGACAGTGTAGAGGGAGCTTTACTGTGTATTTAACCTCGTGCTGTCCTTGTCCTGTGGGTATTTGATGGGGACCATGTCGAGGGAGCTTTACTCCTATATCTAATCCCGTCCTGTCCATGTCCTGGGATTATTTATGGACTATAATATATCACTAAGCTCTGTGTTCACTCTTACCAACCCGTCCATTTCCGGCTTCTGTTTCCTGTCCATTCCCAACCTTGTCTTCCTCTTGTTAATTGTGGCTGTGCAGAGGATGAAAGTTCAGGATATCACAGTGACAGATCCATCACCCACACTCTGTTCCCTCCCTGTTGTACCACACTTCCTGCTCAATGCAACCAGTGTTGCTTTCACCATCAATCACAAAATCACTGAACGTACACTCGTTTGTCCTCTGTTCAAAACTTTGTTAAATCTTCAACCCCAGCTCCTCACACTTTACTGTCTCATCCCCTCAGTAAACACTGCTCTTTCTATTTATTTACAGAACATGGGTGTCGCTGGCTAGGTCAGCATTTATTGCCTGTCCCTAGTTGTCCCTTGATAAGCTGCCATCTTGAACCGCTGCAATCAATGTGCTGTAGGTTGACCCACAATGCCCTTAGGGAGGGAATTCCATGATTTTGACCCAGCCACAGTGAAGGAACAGTGATATATTTCCAAGTCAGGATGGTGAGTGGCTTGGAGGGGAATGTGCAGGGGGTGGTGTTCCCGTGTATCTGCTGCCCTTGTCCTTCTAGATGGAAGTGATTGTGGGTTTGGAAGGTGCTGCCTGAGGATCTTTGGTGAATTTCTGCAGTGCATCTTGTAGATAGCACACACTGCTGCCTCAGAGTGTTGGTGGTGGAGGGAGTGGATGCTTGTGGATGTGGTGCCAATCAAGCGGCTGCTTTGTCCTGGATGGTGTCAAGCTCCTTGAGTGTTGTTGGGGCTGCACTCATCCAGGCAAGTGGGGAGTATTCCATCACACTCCTGACTTGTGCCTTGTAGATAGTGGACAGGCTCTAGGGAGTCAGGAGGTAAATTACTTGCTGTAGATTTCCCAGTCTCTGACCTGCTCTTGTAGACACTGTGTTAATGTGGCGAATGTAGTTGCGTTTCTGGTCAATGGTAATCCCCAGGATGTTGACTGTGGGATTCAGCAGAACGTTGTTTTCCACTTTACACTTCTGACTGAACCCTGCTGTGAATGCTTCAGCCCTATCTTTTGCACTGATGTGCTGGGCTCTTCCATCATTGAGGATGGGGATATTTGTGGAGCCTCCTCCTCCAGTGAGTTGTTTAATTGTCCACCACCATTCACGACTGGATGGGGCAGGACTGCAGAGCTTAGATCTGATCCGTTGGTTGTGGGATCGCTTAGCTCTGTCTATCACTTGCTGGAACTCACTGGTTACTGAGTTTATGTTGTGGTACTTTATGGATAACCAGAATCTCCTGGAGCCTCTCTCCTTTGGGAATTAGACAGCATTTCCCACAGCTTTTCCTTTTTTTTATTGCCTGTTTGGCATGCAACTAGTCCTGCTTGGTGACTAGGTTGACACCTCATCTTCGGGTATCCCTGGTGCCGCTCCTGGCATGCCCTCCTGCAGTCTCCATTGAACGAGGGTCGATCCTCTGGCTTGATGGTAGGGGTTGAGTGGTGGATATGTGGGTCATGAGGTTACAGATTGTGTTGGAGTGCAATTCTGTTATTGATGGCCCACAGCGCCTCATGGATGCCCAGTCTTGAGTTGCTGGATCTGTGCGAAGTCTGTCCCATTTAGCACGGTGATAGTGCCACACAACACGATGGAGGGTATTCTCAATGTGAAGGTGGGACTTTGCCTCCACAAGGACTGTGCAATGGTCACTCTTATTGATACTGTCATGGACAGATACATCTGCAACAGGGACATTGAGTGTGTTTTTCCCTCCTGTTGGTTCCCTTGCCAGCTTGCAGATGACACAGGCAGCTCGATCAGTACTCATTTCCCGCCATCCTATCACCTCAATTCTTCTGCTGCTCGGCCTGCTGGGTGTTTCCAGTTCTTTCTGTTCTCAATTCCACGTCCCAGGCTATTTTAACCTTGCTGATTTCTCGACTTTTGTGCTGATCGGGAGGCTGATCATCCTTTTGTGATTCCAGTGGCGTTCCAGCAAGCTTGATTTAGCAGGGATCAAATCTGGGAGTTTTTAATTGGATCGTTGGACCTGTAGGCCTCAACCACACGTCAGCCTGCTTACCCCCCACTATGAAACATCCTCCTCCCCCCAGTTGTCAGTGAGACAGTCTCCTCACAAAAAAAAAGCAATGAAAAAAGGAAAAGCTGTGGGAAATGCTGTCTAATTCCCAAAGGAGAGAGGTCCCAGGCGATTCTGGTTATCCATAAAGTACCACAACATAAACTCAGTAACCACACAGTAACCAGTGAGTTCCAGACTGTGCCCAAGACCCTTAGGCCTATACCACAGCTGAAGAAAGCTGTCTCTTAGGTAATGGAATCGTCAGTGGTTCTCAGTCAAACTGCTGTTGACAATTTCGTCGGATCAGCTGAAGGGAAAGAATATTATTTTAAAGCAGAGCGAGATGAAAAGGAAGGTGGAAAAGATGGCTGCCCTTGAAGGAGAAAGTGGGTTCAGGCTCAGTTATTAATACCCCTCCAACTAGGGGAAAGAGAAGTCAAACAAAGCCAGAATAGCCCGGATGGTGAGAGGGATAGAGAGTGAAGTGAAGCAGAAAGGAAGGTGCAGGGTGATGATGCAAATGGGAGGCAGTTGAAGGTCAGAGGTTCTGAGAGGAAGGCAATGTGTGAGCTCAAGGTCAGGTATGAAAAGTAACTAGCAGCGAACATCAGAGGGAATGCAAAAGACTTTCATAGGCTGAGGGGAGAGATGTCTGGGGAGATGGGCTCTAGGCAAGGGGGACAGGAGGCTGGGAAAGAAAGAGGCTGGGGGCTTGGCGAGGGAGGGGAAAGAGGAGGGGAGAGATTGGCTGGGGGCTCGGGGAGAGGAGATGGGATAGGGGTCTGGGGAGAGGAGCTCAGGGAGAGGGAAGAGGTGCTGGGGGGAGAGAGGCTGAGGGTAAGGGACAGGGGAGAGAGGGGCTCAGGGAGAAGGGGAGAGGGGAGAGAGGTCTGGGGGGAGGAGCGCGGGGGGGGGGGGGGAGAGGGGCTGGGTACCTGGTGCCTCTCGGACAGTGTGTGCGAACTAACTGTGGATCTGTTTGTATTGACAGCTGCAGAATGAACAGTTGGACTGTGGAGCTGCTCACCTCCAGCATCCGTTGTCCATAACGAAGCCTCTGACAGCCTGGCCCATCTACGCAGACAGGGGCCTTACCTCGGTGGCAGTGTCCAGTGTGAATAACCACACTGTGGTGTTCCTGGGCACGGTCAGTGGGCAGCTTCTGAAGGTGCATCACTAGCTGGGCAATGCCCCAGAACGCTCTCTCTCTCTCTCTCTCTGGGTGGTACATTCAGTGGTCTCCATGGGCCCATGGTTAGCACTGCTGCCTCACAGCACCAGGTACCGCGGTTCGATTCCACCGTCGGGCGAGTGTCTGTGTGGAGTTTGCACATTCTCCCTGTGTCTGTGAGGGTTTCCTCCGGGTGCTCTGGTTTCCTCCCACAGACCAAAGATGTGCAGGTTAGGGTGGATTGGCCTTGGGAAAGTGTCCAGGGATGTGCAAGGTAGGTGGGTTAGCCATGGGAAATGCAGGGCTATGAGGATAGGGTGGAATGCTCTTCGGAGGGTCAGTGTGGACTTGACAGGCAGAAGGGCCTGCTTCTACACTGTAGGGATTCTATAGTTCTCTACACCCCCTGAAACCACAGCCAATACTGGCTGGGGGAGGGAGTGGTGAGAGGGGGTGGGGGGAGGGGATTGCAGTTCACCCATTGATTTGTCCCTGACACCTTTACTGCTTTACTTTCCAAAGCCTTCCCTCCGACTCCAACCCCCCACCCCTTCCACGCCCCCATAGTCAGTTGTAAGTTCAGGGGGAGGTGAGAGGAAGCAGGATGGTTACTGAGCCTCAGCCTAGATCAAGAACTGCCTTCAGCATCACTGGGGAAGACAAGTGGCTGCTGCAGGTCTTTCAGTGGGAGCTCAAAGGTTCGATACAGAATGAGAGCTAACATCCCAGTGCAGTGCTGAGGGAGCCCTGCGCTGTCAACCTTTATCATCTCCATGTGTCAATCCCTTCAGGGCTTCCATCGCCCAGTCTCCCTGAGGGCAGGAGAGCCTGGTACAATAAACGAGACAGAGTTGGATGCAGTCCTGTAACTGATAACAGATTTTGAGGATCAGCTCTGACGTTATCACAAAGACTGACAGCAAGAGCAAAGTCCAGGCTCTGTTACAAACTCACAGAATTGTTACAGTGCAGAGGAGACTGGCACTAGGGCATAGAACCAGTCTCCTGCCTTCTCTCCCCTATCCTTGCACACTGTTCCTATCCAAATAATAATCCAATGCCACTCTTGAATGCCTCACTTGAACCCACCTGCTGCACCCCCACATCTCCACACACTATTTGCTGAGTTGTTTCTCACTTCCCCTTTTGAATCCATTCCCTCTTGTTCTTGTTCCTTTTACAGGCAGGCACAGTCTGTCCCTATTTGCTCTGTCCAGCCTCTCTCGTGATTTTGAACACATCGATCTGATCTCTCTCTCTCTCTTTCACTCAGCCTTCTTCTCTCCAGGGATGATTTGGTTCCCAACTTCTTCAATCCATCCTCCTCACTGAAGTTCCTCATTCCTGTCTCACAGAAGGGTCTACGTTACTCCCCCACCAAATCCACGGGCCACCATAGTGTGGAAGAACTATTCAGATATGCCCTTGTGATGCCAACACCATGAGCCAAGTGCTGGAGAATGGGATTAGAATAGTTAGCTGGTTGTTTTTAACTGGCGCAGACACAGTGGGCTCTATGGCTTTATGGTTGGGGCTTTTTATAATCAATTATCAGGCCTTTCAACTCCTGGCAGATGTCTACAAAGCGTTTTAAACTGGGGGGAAGATGTTAGACAAAGGGGCTGTTTTAGGTGGATATGAACAACACTATGATGCTCATTGAATGAACAACAGAAGGGGTGGAGTTATAGAGTCATACAGCATGGAAACAGACCCTTCGACCCAACTTGTCCATGCCGACCAAGTTTCCTAAACTGAACTAGTCCAATTTGCCTGTGTTTGGCCCATATCCTCCTAAACCTTTCCTATCCGTGTACCTGTCCAAATGTCTTTTAAATGTTGCAATTGTACTCACCTCTACCACTTCCTCTGGCAGCTTGTTCCATACCCTCTGTGTGAAAAAGTTGCCCCTCAGGTCCCTTTTAAATTTTTCCTGTCTCACCTTAAACCTACACCCTCTGGTTTTGAATTCCCCTACCTCTGGTGGCAGCACGGTGGTTCAGTGGTTAGCACTGCCCTCTCACAGCGCCAGGGACCCAGGTTTGATTCCACCCTCGGGCGACTGTCTGTGTGGAGTTTGCACATTCTCCCCGTGTCTGCGTGGGTTTCCTCCGGGTGCTCCATTTTCCTCCCACAGTCCATAGATGAGCAGGTTAGTTGGATTGGCCATAGGAAATTGCCCATAGCGCCTAGGGATGTCTAAGTTAATGCATTAGCCATGCAAATGCAGGGTTACAGGGATAGGGTAGGGGGATGGATCTGGGTGGGATGCTCTTCAGAGGGTCTGTGTGGACTTGCTGGGCCAAATGGCCTGTTTCTACACTGTAGGGATTCTATGTTTCTATGACCTTTGCCATTCACCTTATCTCTACCCCTGATGAGTTTATAAGCCTCTATAAGGTCACCCCTCAGCCTCCTACACTCCAGAGAAATAAAGTCCCAGCCTCTCCTTATAACTCAAACTGTCCAGTCTTGGTAATATTTTTTTTTACACTCTTTCCAGCTTAATAACATCCTTCCTATCGGAGGACAACCAGAATTGTAAACAGTACTCCAAATGTGGCCTTACCAATGTCTTATACAGCAACAACATGATGCCCCAGCTCCTGTACCCAATGCACTAGCTGATGAAGACAACTGTGCCAAACGCCTGTCTACCTACAATACCACTTTCAAGGAACTGTGTACCTGCAGCTGAGGCCTCTCTGTTTGAAAACACATTTACCCTGTCGTTAAGCCCAAGGCCAGGCTGCAACAGCTTCCATCAGTCAATCTGCATCATCTCACCAGAACTAAATTAAACTGCGTCAGGCACAAGTTGAACACACTCAGTCCCTGCTGCCATTGCTGCTTTTACAGACTGGAAGTGGTTATCAGCGCAGGACTCAGTGTGATTGAAGTTACAGAATAAACTGCACTGTTCACAGTTTCCCTCGTACACTGGGCTCTCTAGTCCCAGACCCACAGTCTTTCCTATGTGCCATTCTCTCATCATCAGGGACTCCTTTTTTTTTGCAATCCGAAAACATTTCCTGCTGCTCTCCTCCCCATGTTGTCACTGGGACTCGATGCTTTTTGCTGGATGGATCCGTCCTTTCCCAGAGCACGGAAGCGCTCTTCCTTTGGTGATACGTACTCTGTGATGCTTTGTAAAGTCTGCAGCCCAAGTCACACACGTTGCTGTTTCCTGTCCACCCCTTGCTTCCCCACCCCACCCCCCCACCTCTCTCTCTGGTTCTCTCCAACACCACCCCACGGTCAGCTGCGAGCAGTGCTATCTCCCTTTTACAGAGCAGATTCTTCCAAGGCTTTGTGTTCAGGAAGCTGTGGGAGTGCCTGGCTTCCATTGCTGCCGTTGGAGTTGTCCTTCAGCGCCCAGAGACAAGAGGGACCTTGCACTTCCTCCAACAACAACTTGTATTAAGCTAGCACCTTTAATGTGACCACACACACACACACATACGGGTGGGGGTGGTGGTGGAGGAGATGGAGGATGAGTCAGTGGAGGAAGAGGAGGAGGGAGGAAGTGGAATAAGAGAAGGTTGTGGAGGAGGAAGTGGGGATGGTCCTGGTCAGTCCCACTGGGTGTAATTTCTGATCAGTGTTGGCTCAGTCCTGGAGATAGGCCAGGAACCTGCCCTGGGGGGATGTTGCATAAAGCTGCAGGCCTTTTGGTCTTTCTCTGCATGTCCTCACCATTAAACTCCGTCCTTCCAGCTCAGTCTGTGCAGTGACCAGTCAATCGGGAAGAGGGAAGTGCTGCATGTGGCACCAGGCGAGGCTGTGCATCACATCATGCACTTTGACCCTGCAGATCAGAGCTACCTCTACGTCATGACTACATACCAGGTAAGTGCACAGTGAGAGCCTGAACTACAAACACACCTTACTCAATCCAGCAGGAAGTGTGACCTGGACACCTCCCCCCTTCCCCACCACCACCACCCCCACAACCCCCGCCCAGTGCTCCCTGTGACCAGGACACACACCCATCCCCCCCCCCACCCCACAGTGCTCCCTGTGACGGGGACAGCACCCCACCCCAAACTCCCAATCCCATGCTCCCTGTGACCGGGATTCTATATGTAAACTCCCTGAACCCCTCGATTAGGTTCTACTCTGTAACTCACTCCCAGGTATCTGTTATTCTATTTATATGAGCCCCCTGAACTTCTCGATTGGATTCCAGTCTATAATGCACTCCGTGGTATATGTATATATATATACATACGCCCCTAAACCCCCCAATTAGACTCGCTCCTGGTGTCAGATGGGACACCTGTTGAGTTTGCTGTGTTTATGTTGACTTGGTTTTTACCAAATGCTTTACTCAGACTGACCATTGCTGCCCTTGCCCTGTGTGTTGTTCTCAACTCTCCGATCTCCACAGTGAGTAACCTACCTTGGCCTCTCCTCCAGCTCCCTCACTCAGATGTCTGATGGAGGTTTCTGTCTCTTGTTCACCATGGTCAGATCCCTGCTGGGATCACACTCGGTCAACGTCAACAAGCGGAATAACAGAACTGGCCTCCTTTGCGTGTCTAACCAACCAATCATGACTTCACTCTACCTTGTTGCGTCATTAGGGGATCCTGCCACTATGTGGGTTCCCATTGGTCATCCTGCCTGGTCAATGAGTGATGCGGGGATCCTGTCACTATGTGGGTTCCCATTGGTCACTCTGCCTGGTCAATGAGTGATCTGGGGATCCTATTACTATGTGGGTTCCCATTGGTCACCCTGCCTGGTCAATGAGTGATCTGGGGATCCTGTTACTATGTGGGTTCCCATTGGTCACCCTGCCTGGTCAATGAGTGATCTGGGGATCCTGTCACTATGTGGGTTCCCATTGGTCACCCTGCCTGGTCAATGAGTGATCTGGGGATCCTGTCACTATGTGGGTTCCCATTGGTCACTCTGCCTGGTCAATGAGTGATCTGGGGATCCTGTTACTATGTGGGTTCCCATTGGTCACTCTGCCTGGTCAATGGGTGATCCGGGGATCCTGCCACTATGTGAGTTCCCATTGGTCACTCTGCCTGGTCAATAGGTGATCCAGGAATCCTGTCACTATGTGGGTTCCCATCGGTCACTCTGCCTGGTCAATGAGTGATCCGGGGACCCTGTCACTATGTGGGTTCCCATTGGTCACTCTGCCTGGTCATTGACTAACTACTTCTGCCCTCCTCTTCTCTCACCATGGCCTCTGGCCCCTCCCAGTGGTCATTACCCAGTCCACCCCTCACTTTTGCTCCCTTGCTTTCTACAGGTTAGTCGGGTGAAGGTTGCCACATGTGGCCAGTACCAGACCTGCCAGGAGTGCCTCGCAGCAGACGATGCCCACTGTGGATGGTGTACCCTGGAGAGCAGGTACAGAGCTGGTCAGGATGC